TTGAAAAATATTGTCATATTTAGAGTTCGGTACTACAAAAATATGGCAGTAATTAGTCCTTTTTTTTAGAATAAAAACATGATAGTCCTATTTTGGAATATATAAACATTTTTAGTCCTATATTTAGAGTGTAATTTGCCTAAATGTTGACATTGCTTTAAATACGATGCAATGCTCATATAATATAAAAAGTAATTCATATTGTAAATTATATTTCATACAATAATTATTATATATCACATTTAGTTTAAACCGGGAGTAAAACATTATGATATTAAAGCATGCATGATAACAATATGCATATTACATGAACACAATCAAAATCTTCATAGTAAAAATTTCATAAATAACACTTTTATTATTCTTCAATTATGCACAACTACAAGAGTATCAATAATATACTCCCATCTATCGTCCCAATGACACGTGGCCGCAACGGGAATAGGTCGGGATCACGATACATGTTGCGGCTGCAATGTTATTGTGGTTTCCTTCTGTAGCGCAATCGCATCAGACCGCAATGGACGTGGGGTTTCAATTCACGGGGAAAATCTACTACGTAACCCAACGAAACTGTAATGTCGTTTGGGCCATATAGGATTGTATCAAGACATCAACACTAATGTCATTCAACAATAAAATTAAATAACAACGCTCGGTCGCAATACACATTAAAACGGCCGCAATAGCCACGATCGCAATGCTACCGCAATTCAATGAAAAACCATGATATAGACTAAAGAGTAAATATATAATATTTGATGATGGATAAATTAATATATAGTCATTAAATAAATAAAAATTTATTATAGTTTGTGGTTAGATCATAGTAAATATGCATTTATGCAGTATTAAAATTTGTATCCTTCACAATATCTATTACGTGATACGTAGTACTATTTTTCATTTTAACTCATACCAAATTGAGTCGCCGCTACCGGGGCATTGCCCCGGGGTTTACACTAGTTTATGTGTATGCCTATTGTTGACCATTAATTAATGACCCTTACGAAGCAATTTATATCTAGCTCAACTTAATTCTTGCAGTTGAGGCTCATAATAATCCTCTTTTCCTTTTCTTTATAATTTCCGCTTTTATTAATTTATTCACAAGTATTTGAAACTTCTGGATTGAGCCCATTGCGCTTTTTAGTTCTAAATTTCTTCAACTTATCCTCTTAAGTAGCAGATTTGTCATGTTTTTTTAAAATACGAAAATGTCTATTGGTTTTTTAATTATCATATCGTTTTTGAGCTATTCAAAATTAAAATTCTGAACAGTTAAAAGAAAGAGACTTTCTAAACTAGCAACTACTCTGTCTATTTAAGTAATATATTTTCCCTTGCAAAAATCGAACCAATAATATGAACTGCATTTTCTTAATGCCCAGGGTACTTTTACTTAAGGTTACGAAAAAAGAGATACTCGGGTACAAGGGGAATGGGGACCTGACAAAGTGGGTAGTAAAAATGCGGCTTCCCTCTATTGAAAAACTCATCAATTTTGTCTTTTTGATGCATTGTAGTATACTCCGTATATGCTATTTTTATGGATATATATATTTACATTTTATAAAAAAAAAAACTCATCAATTTTGTTGTAAGCATCAAACTTTACGTCAATAAATCTGACGAGTTTTTTCCACTTTTAGTCATTCGACTATTATGTCATTGACATTTTTGGTATTGGACTTTGATTTTTTCCATTTTTAGTCCTTGACTATTGCGCTACAGACACTTTTGGTACCCGTCTTTGAAAATTTTCATATTTAGTCCTTCAACTTTCATAAAAGTGACATTTTTTGTCCTTCAACTATTATAATAGTGACTTTTTTAGTCCTCCATTTATTGTGTCAAAATCATAATGGGAGGACTAAAAGTGTCAATTTGACAATACTCAAGGACTAAATGTCAGAAACCTTGAAGTCGGGGACTAAAAGTGTCTCTAGCACAATACTCAAGGACTAAAAATGGAACAATTAGAAGTCGAGTACCAAAAGGAAATCATGTTAAGTTTCTACGACTTCTACCAGTAATTATTGTTGAATGTATTTTACTACTGGTTCTGTCCCATTGGACTTTACCAACTTTTCTTTTTTTTTAAAGATATCTATTGTTCTCCCCACAAAAATTGTCACTTTCTAATTAAAGTAATTAATTTGTGGTTCTGCTCATTTATCTCTTCTCTGCACAAATCTTAACCACACAACTTTTACTTTTCTTATTTCTCAACTATTTTGAAATTGGAAAAGTCTACTGGGATGGAGGTAATATTATTTAAGTTTGATCTGGTCTATTTAGTTTTTTATCTGATCTATTCTGATCGAGGACTAAAATCGATCTAATTAAAAATATCCTTATGTTTCACATTAGAGTGAATTATATTCGTCCCAAAAATGTGAAATTGAAAAACTAACATAATTATTTATCACAAATCGATCTAAAAAATGAAATACTAAGTATAACTAAAATACCAAAATACCTATCGTTGAGTGTATGAAATGAAAAGTTTTTTCCTTCTTCAAATAATTATAGTTTTGATTGATTAGGTGTATCCCTAAAATATTATTTTCTTCGTAAGTTTCGACCGGTCTCTCAACTTAATTTGCACTTTCAGAATTATTTTTATTATTTTTTTAAGGTCTTGATCAAAATTGTTAAAGAAAATAAGATTGCAAAATCAGATGATCGTGCGTGCATTGAATTACAAAATTTTAAAGAAAATAAGATTGCAAAATCAGATGATCGTGCGTGCATTGAATTACAAAATTTTGCTTATCGGATCTTGAGTCTTAGAGATGACATACTTGGTAGTCGTAATGAATACATAAATTGACTTAAATAGGAGTAAAAACGTTTTGAAATTCCAAAATAAGAGTATCATGTTTTTTATTCCTTGGATAAGAGTAAATTTCTGTCAAGTTTGGTATTACAATGCTTTTAAACATGACATTTTCTTCCAAACTTGGTAGATTACTCCTATTCAAGGAATAAAAAACATGATACTCCTATTTTAGAATTTCAAAACGTTTTTAATCCTATTTAATGAATTCTCTCTGATGAATAACATGAATATGTTTGAATTCCCTGAAAATATTCTAATAACAGGTCGACCAACCATGTTGCTTCTAAAGTAGATACGTAGGGCCGGTTTGCAACAGCTTTAAAAAAAGCACTTCTCAGATTTTGGCTTTAAAAAACACATATTTACCAAACACTACCAATTTTTTACTTTTCTCGGCTTTCGTGTCAAAAGTGCTTTTCCCCTTTTTGTACACCAAAAACACTTATTTTACCAAACGCTACCAACTTTTACTTTTCAAAATCACTTTTTTCTCAAACACTATCAACTTTTACAACTAATCACTTTTTCCAAATCACCCCAAAAGTGCTTTTTTTAAGCAGAAGCTGTTGCAAACACTCTCTGAGTATATATATACTCATTTTATCTCATGTCTTAGAATGAAGTGTAACACTGAAACCTACGCTTTCTATGGACTATGGTCAACTTGATTAACCATTAATTGCTCTATTAGTCTTGCTAAGATTGTCTCATCTTTTCATTTCGGTCCGTTATTTGAAGTTCTTCATACCATATTTTGTAAGGTTTCTATGATTCTAAATCATTCTTACTTTTATTTTAATTAATCAATTCAATATCAACCATATATACTCACTTTTATTACTAATCACACCACCTCCCAATGTCCCAATGTTAGTCGGACGAAGGTAGTACATGATTTCGAAAAAGCAATATGATGTGGTTATGGGGATGTTTGGTTCTTAGCGTGTTAGATGAAAACACCATTTTTTAACTTGGGAAAACGCTGGTAATACTAGCATTTTCGGTGGAAAACGTTGGTAATGCGAGCGTTTTGGGTAAAAAATGATGGAAAACAAACACCCCCTATAACTTAGCTCTGATGGATTTTTTTTTTGTCGAATTCATATGATCAATTGTTTAATACACCAAAAATTTTAAATTTCAGATAACATATTTGTATTATTTCAACTTCACTTTTCTTATGATGCACTCATACGTTCTCCAATACATGTAATCTTAATTATATCATGACATTAAATAAAGGTCGCTCTACAATATGTATCGCCTCTTGCTAATCCAAGTTCATTTTTTATTTCTAAATAATTGCAGAATATTGATTGAACCATTTGGGGTAGTACAACTTGAATCCATAGAGAAACAATCCAAGTTCATTTTATATTTCTAGATAATTGCAGAATATTGATCGAACCATTTGGGGTAGTACAACTTGAATCCATAGAGAAACTATGGTTAATTATTATCTACAAGTTTATTAATTGTTCTTTTTCCTTAAACTTCACACAACTTCTAGAGCTAGAGGATGAAATTTATCAATGAAGCCGAAAAAACTTTCCTATGAGATGTAAAATCAATTATTTCCAAAATCTCACCTTTGTTAAATACTATGATGAATTTATCAAGTATGTATGGTGGATGTAAGCTTTCAAAAATAATATGTTTCTATATTCTTCTTGTTACATCCAGAATTCAATACTTTATTAGGCTCTTTTATAATGTCTTCATATTCAAAAAATTCAAATGCACCAATGCCCAAGTTCAGTGGACATGGGTCATCAGAACTCCAATTGTTATCTCACTTTTTATACAAAATGTTTTTTTTGTTAGTCTGCCATCTTGAGTACACAATTAAATTCAACTCATAATTTAGTTGGCGGTGCGTATCATACTTGCATAGAATAAAAAATATGGACTTTAGATAACTGGGGAAATGTATGACTTCATATGCAATTTCGTAATTTGTAATCCCGTGCAACGTACGGGTGAAAGACTAGTTACTTCAATACCCGAAGACTCCTACCTTTGGAGATAAGGAGAGTTGAATGTACAAAGTCTTATCACCGTACTAAAGCACATAAAGATGCTTACCGGATGAATCATGATGAAAATTAAGTGGATTTACTATTTGAGTGAACTATTCGGTTTTATTCCACCATATTTCCAATTAAACAAATAGTGAGTATTTGACTCCATTTGAAATGATGAAACTCCTCGATCACTAACCTTTCAAATGTCAACAAAAATACTTTCTCCCCCTTCTTGAGCAGATTATAGTCCAAGTAAAAACATCCCTAGAACTGCAGCCTTATTAAAAGCCCATATCAAAAATAAATTGAACCTAGTCCTATCCAGCTCATATTAAAAACAAAGCCCAACCCAGCCCAACCGGGGATATAAGACCGAACATGTCCCATGCAGCCATGCGTAGATTCACCCAGAGTTGTTGCCACACCTATAAATGTAGAGCCCGTTTGGTTACACGAAAATCAGCTGCTTTGGCTGATTCTGCTGAAATTTATGAAGTTCTGACTGAAGTGACTGCATTTGCTGTTCTTGCTGATTTAAGAAAGGAAAAAATTAAAATATATTTTATTTATAAAATAAAGAAAAAGTTATATGTAAAAATAGCTAGAATGATCGTCTACGGTAACTTCAGTCAATACAGCGCGCTAAAACAAAAGTTACGTGTTTGGTGAAAAAGTCTGATAAGCCGAAAAACAGGGTTGACAAACCGCTTCTTTGTCAATCGAAATTCAAATTTTAGCAGCGGTTCACTGTCGATCGGCGCCGTTTAACGAACAACACCGATTTATCTTAGGTCAGTGGTTTTTATTTTGTGGGGTGCAGTTTCGTAATCTGGCTATTTTAGTAGTTATTTTAACCTTTTATTGTATCATCGTCGTTTTATAATACTACTAGCTAGTATGATATTTATGATTATATTTGCAATTGAATACCTTGTCCAATTTCCGTTTAGTCTCCTTGTTATCGTCGTCTTCGGTTATACGAATACATATCGATGTGCACGATCTTCATGTAGTTAGTAGTATCAGCTTTTTAGATCCATGTGAATTTCTCATAAAGTCTCTTATTATCTCATCTTTGTTGCTGATTTGATTTTTCCAAATCAAGGACGAAGAAATTTGACCACTTTCAACATATCAATGACCTGTATAATTATCTATTGTGAAAAGGAATGTGTTTGCCTTGAATCTGGTGGTCTTCCATACGGTTTTTCGTTTGTGCGCACAGGTTTTGCTGCATGTTTTGGGCTCGGGGTTTGCCCACTTGTGGGCCGTATACTTCACCATCTTAATTAGTAGTATTTCTAGGTTTTTGGAGCTTAATTAACTATGTTGTGATGCTTGTAGTATTGTGTTGCAGGTCAAATTCAATGTCAAGTCTTCTGCAAAAGTAGAAAGAAGTTTTGCACGTTTCCCGTACAAGTATATCTCCTTTGTTCTGTCCTCATACTATGTATTAACGAAAGGAGTAATTTTTTCTCAATCTTAAAAACATACCTTAGTAGCTAGAAGGTTCTGAATTGATAGATACACTTTGATTATATAGAGGCTGCCTGTATGGATGGAGTGAGTGTCAAAGCAGTTGAGAATCATGAGAGGGAGCCATGTAAGGAGAATGTACGAGAGGAGGTTGTGCATGATGTTTCAGCTAAGGATTCCAAGTTAAAGTATAAACGTGGTTGTGATCGTGGTCACATGGCGTGTGTTGAGAACTTTTGGGAGGAGGCCTGGAAATATCGTGATGGTAATATTGTGGGACTATTGGTTTTACTTCAAATTTTTATTCAGTAACATGGTGATATTTATTCTTGCGTAAGACATGATATCATTATGTTTGAGAGTTTGACTTTAAGCCACTTTATCACTTATTTTGATGTCAAAATATATAAAAATAATTAAATTAAAATAAAGATTGTTTACAAAAATGTGACTCGTGACTAGAGTAATAATGTACTCCCTCCGATTCAAAAACAAGTTCCAGTTCGGTTTACAATGCTTGAATCGGTTTACGATGCTTGACAGACGATAAAACAATGCTTGAATCGGTTTACGATGCTTGACAGACGATAAAACAACTCGATCCCTGTTCACACTCGAATTATTTTTAGTAAATAAAATTTACATATTAAGAAATTACATTAAAACCGCTACAAAGCCTGACCAAGAAAATTTCAATTTAATAAAAACTTGATATATATATATATATATATATAATAAAAGATTAGGAGTGACTTAAGTTGACCAATGAATAGTAAAGTGGAACTTGTTTTTGAATCGGATGGAGTATTAACATTGTATTAACTATTAGTCATATTTGTGTTAATAAGTTTTATTTTAGTCATACACATACACAGTGCTTGATTATAGTTTGCCTGTTATTTTTGTGGTTACTAGACAACAGTGTCGGATCTTGGCTCCAAGTATGGGGTGTTCAAAATAATTATAGTGACTACCCAACACTATTACTTCGGTCAGCAGTTGTAACTTTTCTAACATTAAGGGGTGTTTGGAACTGATTCTGCTTCTGCTTCTTTTTTAAATGAGAAGCAGAATCAGTTTTCAGAAGCTAGTACCCCCAGCTTCTAAAAAAAACTGATTCTGGGAGTAATTTAGTGCACCAGAAGTGCTTCTGGAATTTCACTCAAACACTCCAGTTTCTGCTTCTGCTCCCTGAAGGAGCAGAATCAGTTTTGAGAATCAGATCCAAACACCCCCTAAAAACCCAATAAACAAGGTTAAAGCAAGAAATATTTCATAAAAATACAATATATAATTTATTACATCAATTTTATAGATGTTTTTTTACATTTTGTTTTCACAAATTTGGGTGTGAACACCTTTGAACAATATAGGTTCGCCCCTGCTATACAACCTACTATCTCACTTCTGGTTAAACACTTGAACATTATCATAGGTAGGGCCATAGGGGTCGAATATTGTATAGATTATGCACAGTGAGGATTAATTGTTTTGCAATTGTGCAGTGGATGTCATTCTATTTAATCTTGACCCGGATAATGATGATCTTTTGGACAAGGTATAAATTTTCAATTCTTTTCTAATAATTGGGAGATTATTATTTTTACATGTATTACTTAGTACGTACTGTATGTATGTAGTATATTCATCAAAAACTGTGCTCTGCATTTGAGTATTTGACTCTACTGTGTGCAAAGTAAGCACTAATTTAGCACTAATTTGGTTGTCACAAGTAACTCGGTTAAATGGAAGGGAGGGTTGGTCTCGTGTAGACTGTGTAGTATGTTTGGGAATTGCGAATATCAAGTCACTCTTTTTTCACAATAGCTCTTGTACATCGTATTTGATGTGTTTTTAGGATGAAACTATGGAGCTGCTCGAGGCCAGTTTATTGGAAATGGAAGAGGAGGAAGAAATGGAGCAGAGAGCAAAACTGACTAAATGTGGTAGCAGTGAGAAAGTTGAAGTTTAATACTGTATGAATGACTCTACATTGTCGCTCAATAAGTTAAGAATTGTGTTTGATTGCTTGAAGAAGAGTACTAGTTACTCCACCCGTGCGTTGCACGGGAGTTCAGTATATTATAATATTTTAAATGCAATTATATGGGGAAAAAAGTTTGAGAGTAATCCAATAAACTCAAAACAATAAATAGATTACAAAGTAAGATATATGTCATTATAATAGCAAACTAAAAAGGTGTACATGTAAGCCTGTTACATGGTAAAATTCACGTCTCTAATTTTCACAGCCTAATCGGGAAGGCCGTAAAAAAATATTAGTATGTAACATCAACTCGTTGGACTTGTTACTCACGGTACCATCGCCACATACCCCTTTTGATGTGAGACAAGAGGGAGGTGGGAGGAAGCTATCAAGGTACCATGAGGGGGTCCATTTACACATTATTTTGAGAGAAATGCCAAATAGGCTATCCCCTCACTCACCCTCTCCCATCATTTCGGCCAAAGAGACCCAAGAGAGAAGGATAGCTCTTGCAACCTCATCCTCCATAGCCAAGAACTGAACTCAAGCAAGGAAGCTCCAAGGAGGAAGATTAAAGGGAGAAAAAGGCTAGGAAAAGTGAGAAAGATTAAGGTAATGACCTTGTATTAACTTTTCCTTTATTTTTCCCCTAACCTATGAGATACATATCTTATGGAGAACCCTTGAGGTTGTTCTACATGACAATAGTGTGGAATAATGGGTTGGGGAGTAGTTCTAAGTCCAAGAACGGACTTAGAAGCCAAACCGACCGGTTCACCGGAAAATAACCTTTTAAGGGTTATGTGTATTGATTAAGGTTTTATGATGTTAAAACCTTGTTAGGAACTTGATTTAGAGTATCTTTGAGCTTCGCCGGAGTTTCGCCGGAGTTGGTCAAAGTTGGCCGGAGTTGGTCAAAGTTCACCGGAATCGGTCAAAGTTCAACCGCGGAGCGTAGAACACGCTTAAGCTCACTTAAGGTGAGGATGACCGACTATATTGCTTATAATTATTGGGTTAATTTCATAAGATTACCTACATGAATTATATGTGTTTGGCATGATGTATTTATAATAATAAAATGCCTAAATGAGATTTTTATTGTTTATAAGCAAAAATGCATAATATACAAATTTATGAATAAATTGTGTATGATTATGTGTTATGAATACAATGGTATAATAGTTGTGTAAACTATAAACTAAATTGTGATAAATATACTTTTACCTCATGTAAGGAAGTCATGGGAGGATAAAAGTGATATTTTGATATTAGAGCCAAGTTATACTTGAATGTGGAATTTAATTGAGATATTCAAATTATTATGAACTTAAGTTACCTTTGGAGTAGGCCTTAAGGGTTACTCAAAATGGATGGAACCTAGACTAAGAAGTAGTTTAGGGATTAGTTGACGTGACTATGAGCCGAGCTCTAGCACGTGGTAGCATGACTATGAGCCGAGCTCTAGCAAACGTAGGGTGACTATGAGCCGAGCTCTAGCACAAATTAGTATGACTATGAGCCGAGCTCTAGCAAACGTAGAGTGACTATGAGCCGAGCTCTAGCACAATTTAGTATGACTATGAGCCGAGCTCTAGCAAATGTAGTGTGACTATGAGCCGAGCTCTAGCACAATTTAGCATGACTATGAGCCGAGCTCTAGCATGAAGGAACATGAGTTAAGTACAAATGAATAACATCTTGGATTGAGGGTCTTGGAAATTGAAACTTTGATTATACTTAGTATAGTTGTCATTGTACTTGTCAAATGCTTCCAAGTACTGACCTCCCCTTCACGGGGGAGGCCACCTCACAGTTTCAGGTAGGGAGTAGAGCTTGCTACTACCGTTCGTTGCTTCGGGAATTCAAGGAGGAAGGCGGGGTTCGTACTTCTCCTGTTTCTGTTTTGAAAACAATTTAAATAATGCTCATGGATATTATTTCGAATATTTATTTGGGGGCTTGTATGCCCGTGGTTGCCACGTGTGGCTTGAATATTTGTAATTATGTTTCCGCTGCTTAATTAAATATTTTACGTTATGATTGTTTATGGATGTACTATGTGTGAATGGTATTCAAGACGCCTAGTATAGTATGGATGAGTTGGACTGCGGTTGACTATTCGTACTGTACGGCGGGTTGTTGACGTGTCCGGTAGGTCCGGGGCGTGACAATTTAATTGGTATCAGAGCCTTAGTCCGTAAACTTCATAATGAAGCTTCAAAACCTCTTTTGAAAATGAATTTGAAAACCATGAGCATAAAAAGTTTTGTACTTATAGAACTTTTGGTACTTGAGTTGCAAAGTCTCTAATTGTTAAGATGGTACCCTTAACAATTGGTATGACGGTGATTTGAGCCAAAAGATGTCTTTAAGTACCTATCCGTCACTTGACATTGACACGAGTCTAATGGCTCATTCTAAACTTCTTTCAGAAATGGAACGTACCGGTAGAATTACTCGACGGAACCCGACTGGCCAGGCGCTGGGAGGATCCCAACATGGCAGTCGGGGGGGATCAAGAGAGTCTAGGGGACAGGACCGTGCAGGCCACTCGCTGACCGTGAGTGACGGTCACGTGGAAACAATAGATGAGCACTATGAGTCCGAGGAGGATTCAACTTACCAACCGGGAACTGAGCCGGTTGAGACCCCATATGATGGGGAACACGACGATGCTAGTGATGAGAGCGATGATAATGACGCTCTTGAACGGATTGAGGAATTGCTCCGGCAATACCAACAAGATCGCCAAAGGCGCCGGGCAAGGCGTGCTTTGGAAGGGGCTTCGAGGAGAGGAAGCCGCGCGACTCCTAGGGAGAGCATTGAACTCCGAGGAGGTCGAGGTGCCGAGGTTCCTATCATAAGAATCTCAAAGTACCTAAAGGAGGCAAGAGACTTGGGATGTAAGCCGTTTGATGGAACGGGAGACATCTCCGTGGCGGCCGAGTGGATCAAGAGATTCAATGAAGCAGCCCTTGATATGCAGCTGCCACCCCATATGAAGATGAGGGTGGCAACAAGGTTGCTAGAAGGAATGGCGTCCACGTGGTGGGACGGTGTCAAGGGGAAGTATGGTGAGACGGTCACTTGGGAGAACTTCAGGCAAGAATTCTTTAGCCAATACTACTCCGACTTCGAGGTGAACTTGAAGAGAAGGGAGTACACGAATTTGACCCAAGGAGGGGAATGCACGGTGAAGGAACTTGAGCACAAGTTCAGAAAACTTGCTGAGTTCATACCGGAGTACATATGTGACGAAAACCGGATGGTGAACCATTTCTGGGATGCCTTAGACCTTGACATACGTGAGAGGGCAACACAATTGCCTAATATGACGTTTAGTCAAGTGGTTGAACAAGGCTTGAAGGGAGAAAAAGAGTGGGAGGAAAGAAAGCGAAGGAACGCCGAAGAGGCGAAGAAGAGGAAATGGGAGAACCATGGCCCCCAAGGTTCTAACAAAAAGGGGAACCACGGGGGAGGGGGATCGTTCAGAGCGCCGGCACCGCCATCCAAGGGAAACTCGGCCTTCGGCGGGCACAACTCGGGCTCACAAGCCTCAACGGCGCCCAGATGCAGAAATTGCAACCGGAGCCACGCCGGTAAGTGTCGCGATCCGCCGCGGTGTTACCAATGTGGGGACACGGGGCACATTAAGCCAAATTGCCCTCAACTTGGTAGGAACCGAGGAGCGGGATCAAGCGGCGCTACTACGGCAAGTAGGAGCCGAACCGGAGCACCTCATGCTAGTACGGGACAAGGGGGAGCAAGTACGAGCAACGCACCCTCCGTGAACCAAGGAAGGACCCAAGCAAGGGTCTACGCAATGACGGAGGCGGATGCCCGAGCTAACCCAGATTCGGTTGCAGGTTTGACCGCTTAACTCCTCTCGCTTTACGCATTCCCATCCATAAATTGAAGTTATAAATCCTAGAATCCAGGTGAGAGCAAACGTAAGATCGAAATGGGAAAAGAGAGCAAACCATGTTACTACCCGACCGGGTAGGGCAATAAACCCGACCGGGTAGGACAAGTTTTTGCCCTCGTAAGCATTCTGGATCACATACCCGACCGGGCATTTTGGGCCACCCGATCGGGTCTACTGAAAAATCCTACTGGAATACCCACTGGAACACCTACCCGACCGGGTCTGGTGGTGTACCCGACCGGGCCTGATGAGAAAATCTGGGCCCGACATGCTACCAGACCGGGTAGAGTGGTAGATTACCCACTGGAACACAAACCCGACCGGGTCTTATGATGTACCCGACCGGGTCTGATGAATATCGTGGCCCGACTTGCTACCAGGTCGGGTAGAGTGGGAGATTATCCACTGGAACCCATACCCGACCGGGTATGGCATGTTACCCGACCGGGTACACCCCAAGGTGTTCGTCAAATGAAAAAGTTGTCTTCATGAAAGTTGTAGATATTTTCATTGTCTAAATGATGGAATTTGAATCGAACGATTTGGTTAAGTATGTGAAGAGATATGATCAAAACGGTGAGACAGTGTCAATTTATATCTCAACTGCGAACGTTAACTATAATTGGGGGACTTTGCCCACTTTAAGGACATAATTTCGCATTATGTTCTTCGTAGGATTGGTCGGTATGTTAGAGAGGTATCTTACATGGCTTATAAATGTAGGAACACTAAAGATTAATGGGAGATGTGCGAGAATCCTCATCGATACCGGGGCGCAACGATCATTTGTGAGTGAGGCATTCGCCGGGGGATTCAACGCACCCCTGGTACCGATGACTCAAGCCCTATTGGTATCCACACCCCTAGGGGAAGACATCGAGAGAGATAGCCACTATCCATCGTGTGAGGTGGAAGTGGAGGGCCAAAACTTGTCGTGTGATTTCGTGCCGCTGAGTATGATTGAGTTCGATGCAATCCTGGGGATGGATTGGCTTGAGAAGCATCATGCTAGGGTCGATTGTTACACGAAAGTACTTGAACTCGAAGGCAATGAAGGGGTGACCTTACGCTTCGAGGGGGATAGGGCAAAATCCAATAGTTGTATCATATCCGCTGTGAGGGCTAAGAATATGATGAGGAAGGGATGTCACGCATATCTAGCGTACGTGGTGGACAAAACCAAGGAAGAGGCGAGCATTGATGATGTGAGGGTGGTATGCAAGTATCCGGATGTCTTTCCAGAAGACTTACCGGGGCTTCCACCCGATAGGGAGATTGAGTTCGTGATCGAGGTCGAGCCCGGCACCAAACCAATCTCCATACCGCCATACCGTATGGCACCCGCTGAACTTAACGAGTTAAAAACCCAATTGCAAGAGCTTTTGGATAACGGTTTCATCAGACCAAGCCACTCCCCGTGGGGAGCACCAGTCCTTTTTGTGAAAAAGAAGGATGGAACACTTCGAATGTGCATT